CAGACGACCCGGCTACTGCCTGCTCTTGAGCGTCTCCACCAGCCTGCGGAGAGCGGGGAGGGCGGGTGAGGGCGGGCGGAGACTGCGCCCCGGGGACCCCAGGCCAGCGCTCACCACTCCATGGCCTCGTCCAGGCCGGTGCCCTTGGTGGCCGAGGTCTTGAATATCTGCCACTTGCGGTCCTTCAGGGCGGGCAGGCCCAGGGCGCTGGCCATCTCCGACGGCGTCATGGCCTGCTCCATGTCCTGCTTGTTGGCGAACACCACCAGGATGGCCTTCCTCAGCTCCTCCTCCTACGGAGGCGGAGATGCGACTTCACCTCCGCTCGCCGTTCACTGGGAGCGTAGAAGAGACGCCAAAATGCCTTTTTCGGGGGGGCTGGTTTGTTTTGGGATGACTTTTTCTACCAGGGATCGAACTCGGGACCTTGCATTTGCGGGGCATTCGCAGCACCACTGAGCTACATCCCGGCCGTTTTTGGTTGTTTGAGACAGGCTCTCAGTATGTAGTTCAGGCCGGCTGGGAACTCACCAGGTAGACCAGGGTGGATTCAGTTTGCAGTGATCCTCCTGCCTCGGCCTCCCAGGTGCTGGGATGACAGGCGTGTACCACACCCAGCACAAGTATATTTTTAAATTATTATTGTTACCTCCAGATTATTTAAGTGATAAGAGAAATATAAAGGAAAAAGCTCCACCCATATTCCTATCTTCAAACATGATCACCATTAACATTTTGAGTATTTTCTACTAGCACCGTGTTCTACGATAAATACTTAGTAAACATGTTTATCCACTGAAGATGATGTTTAGTACTCCTATATCTTGCTTTTAAAAAAGTAAAATTACAGGGCCAGGGATTTGGCTCAGTGGTTCCGCCGCCTGCCTCGCAAGTGCAAGGTCCCGAGTTCGATCCCCAGTACCAAGAAAATTACAAAGTAAAATTACAAGTATTTCTCCAAACCATCAACATTTTTTCGAGGCAGACGTGGTGCACACCCATAGTCCCACACCAGGGAGGCTGAGGCAGGAGGATGCTGGGTCCCAGGTCAGCCAAGAGCAGGCACAGAGGCCCAAGGTCGGCACGGCTCTGGCTGCACAGGGAGGGTGATGGCGGGACACAGGGGCCGGCACTGCAGCAACGCAGAAGAGCGCAACGCCTCCAGGCTAAACGGGGACACCGGGTGTCTGGGTGTCAGGGCTCGTGACGCTGTGTCAGCAGCACGGCCCCACGAGGGCTCCACAGGGCCGGACCCGCCTCCAGCGCTTCTTCAGGGATCACAAGTTGCAGGCACATGAAAGGCAGCGCAGGGAGGGCATCCCTGCACGTCACCCTGCCTGTCCCATCACACAGCCCCGAGTGTGCGTCTCCACTCACCTCCAGCATGGCGACCAGCTCCGACTTGGAGATGCCGATCCGGTCCCGGTCACAGCTGTCCACCACATAAATGACCGCGTCTGTGTTGGAGTAGTAGCATCTCCAGTACGGCCTGTGGTCAGAGGATGTGCGTCACCGTGTGGGCAGGGCCTGGGCACCTTGTGTCCCTCGGGTGCTGCGAGGCTGACAGGGTGTTAATAAATATGACACCGTGGCCAGGAGTGGTGGCGCGAGCCTCTAATCTCAGTACCCGGCAGGCTGAGGCAGGAGGATCACCAAGAGTTCAAGGCCAGCCTGGGCTACACAGACACTGACTCAAAAAGAGAACAAAACAAAATTAAATCACAGAACCAAGGAGTTCTGAGATGAGTTCAGACTTCAGGATAAAAGAACAGAAGCTATAAGATACTTAATGTATTAACAGAAGCCATACACACTTCCGTTCATTATAGCTTAAAAATCTCTAACCAAGGTCAGGCCTGGTGGCACACACCTGTAATCCCAGCACTTGGGAGGCTGAGGCAGGAGGATCGCTGTGAGTTCAAGACCAGCCTGAGCTACATAGTGAGTTCCAGGTCAGTCTCAGCTACATAGTGAGACTCTACCTCTAAAACCCCCCCAAAAAAATCTCTAACCAGCAGTCCCTTCAAAAGGAATATTTTAATGAGGTTTCATACAACAACCCTTGGTCCCTGAGGACACCAAGAGGTAGAAATGGCTGCAGTGGGAGTGGAAAAGTGACTGAAGGGTGAGGGAGGCACGTTCCCAGCCTCTGGTGCGCGGCCTCTGCTGCCCGTCACCGCGATGCATGGCCACACC